TTCCATTGCACAGTGGGTCTGTATGAAACAAAATAATATATTATTGAAAGTTAAATCGTTAAATAAATCAATAACTTCTATAGCTTCAAAGTTCGTTAAACTTGAAAACGTACCATCGGATGGTATAATTGTAGTATACACGGGTTAATTAGAATTTTAAATAATGAAGAAATAAATGTAAATTTTAAACAAATTACAGCCCTAATAAAATTAACAAAATATAAAACTATAATATGGTTAGAAGCTGTCATAAGTCACTATAATTTAAATTTGTTAGTAATATAAGAAACACTATCTACTGAAAATAAATCCACAGCGTTAGCATAATATTATAATCCTGGTAGAAAATGCATATCTGTTTATAAATGCATTGGTTTTACAATGTGTTTTTTTAAATTTATTCTTTTTTTTATTTGCGTCCGTCATCACCTCTTAGGACAGTAAAAATGCTTGGAATTTCTTCAACATTATATTTTCTGATAGGAAAACCTAGAAAATCTAGAATCTAGAAAATGTCCAGTAATTTAAAAAAAATGAAGGAAAAAGGGTATTTTTAGGCAAAATCGGTTTTCGAAAAAACCAATTTTAGTTTTAGGTGTAACTTTAAAACAAATTACAGTAGATACGCATGGAATTTTTACTGAATGTTTATATTAGGATTTTATATACACGATAAAATTTTCAAAATATATTGAGCTGTTTACGGGTATATTAAGTTTCTAATTTTTTAGTTTTTTTTTTCTCTAAATGTCAATAAAATTGTATTCGTCCTCGTTATAAATGTAATGACAGATTGGGAGGTGAGAATATTTATAATAATATATCTAATCATGCTGATAATATGTATAACTATGACCGACTGATAGTGAATTATAAAAAAGTTGACTATACATCTCCATTCTCCAGGTTAGGTACGTGTGCAAATTTTGATATTAACCCATGGGTTAACAACTTAGACTTAACAACTCAGCAAAAAGGCGAATTATTAATACAATTATTAAATAAATATAAAAATATTTTTTCATAATCTATGTGGGATCTAGGAGAAGTAGACATGGAGCCTATTGAAATAAAGTTATTGGACGATACACCAGTAAATGAACGAAATTCCAAATTGAGTCATTCTGAAATAAGAATTATTAGATTGGGACATAACTGAATATTCATTAAGTCCCTATTCTTCACTAATTTTCTTAGTACCAAAAGGTCCATCAAAAAATAAAAAAATAAAACAGCTTCAGATAGTATAATAGAATGGTCTTAGATGAGTAAATTAAAAAACTCTCAAAGAGGCATTTCCTTTACCAATTATACAAAATGTTCACGATACACTTGCAGGAAATAAATATTTTTCCTAATTGGACGCATTGTCAGGTTTCCATCAATTAAAATTAAATTAAAATTCTAAAGAAATTACCAGTTTTTCTACATCAACAAGTTATTTACCTTTTGGCTTAACAAATGCACCTCAAAAATTTCAAAAGGTTATGAATAAAATAATGGCAGAATTAACCTATAGAATTCTGAATTGCTATTTGGATTGTGTGTTTTGGTAAAACTTTCGAAGAACACCTCAATGCACTTGAAATAACATTTGAATAACTGTTAAAATATAAAATTTTGAAATGTAAATTTTGCTATATTATGTTCTAAAATTATTAGGTAATGAGCACAGTATAAAGCCAAACTGAAGAATGACTTTTAGCCGTTAGAAATTGTCCCTCCTTTACCACAATAAAACAACTACAATTTTTTTTTTTTGAGCAAATTATTTTCTTAAATTTATTCCATATTTTAGTAAATTAGCGCGTCCACTTACAGAATTATCTAAAGAAAAATTAATAGTTCCTTGGCTGGAAACACATTTAAAAATCTTAAATTAAAGCTTACAAATAAATCAGCTTTATCTCATTTTAATGACAACATTTATTAGTAACCAACGGTTCAAAAAAAGGTTTTGGGCTTAATTTTACAACAAATAAATGAAATAGTAAAAATACACCCTGCAGTTTCATATATGGGCTATATGGCTCAAAAAAATTAAATACCACACAAAACAATTTTTCGGCATTAGAATTAATAATGGCAGCCTTACATTTCGGTTGCATTCATTTTAAGAAATATCTTCATTGTAGAACCTTTATAGTCTGGACTGAACATAAAAATCGAATACAATTACAAACTATTAAATCATAATCTACAATTCTGAACAGATTAAGAACTAAATTAATTGGTTTCAATTTTAAAATAATTTATAAAAAGGGCATCAAGCTGCAGATTTTTTGTCTGGATATCTGATCGAAAATAATGGTACTACATGCACCAATTTAAATGAACATCAAATAAATACTGTGGAACCATTAAATTTAAAAACACATCAATCTAGATAAAAAATATAATAACTTTTTTAGAAAATTCAGACATAATTAAATGGCAAACAAAGCAAAATCATATAGGTGTTTGTATATAAATTTAGCTTAACTATCACTACAGCAGTACAACTACTGCCTGATAGGTTCTATCCCTCTCAAAATAGTTTTGGCAATGTTGTACGGTTCTAAGAAGGAAACAACACACGCAGGTGTAGCGTCCATTTAAAGATTTAAACTAACATTTTAAACATGTATAATAATATTTAACTAAAAAACCTAAAAAAAAATTTATAAATAATACTCTACAATATAAATGTTTTATGTTTGGAATGTTAATTGAATACTTATTTTATTTAATTCCTTGTAATGTAAAAATACTATTTGTCTAATTTTAAAGTATATTCAGCACTTGAATTGGAGAAAAACGTGGGGGGAATGGAGTACCCTTTATCCTTCAAATTACATCTTAATCAAAAGAAATTTAAATGTTCGGGGTAAACAAATTTGTTTATACTTTTGGATCCCCTTAAATTTGTTTTCCAATTCAAGCACTGAGTACCTATATTTCATAATACATTATACTCACAATGAATTTTTCAAACTCAATGTTTCTGGCAAAAATCAATTCAATCTACTGTATTAGTATTAGTATAATACTACATAACTATTCAATGTCAATATAAACAATATATCAAATAATAAATTTAGTAATGTATAGGCCTTCGTCCTTCGGCCCTCGTTTGTTACACAACGATAAAATATCATAGAATTCGAATTCAACACATCCATTACAACAGTGAACTAAACGACACCTGTACAGCTGAGAGGTATCCACTTGCCCACCTTTTTCGATTCTGAGCGGAGTATTGAATGTACCGATGTTCCAATGAGTTTTTTTTTAGTGTCTGTCATTACCTTTTAGGACAGTAAAAATGCTTAGATTATTTCAACAGTATCTTTTTTGATGGGAAAGTTAATCTAGTTAGTACTTTGAGGGATCAAAAGTAAAAAAATTCAAAATTATTTTTTAAAATTCAAAAGCACGGTGAAAAAAAAAGAAAACTTAAGGAAAAACCGGATGTTATGAGCAAGATTGGTTTTCGACAAAATTGATTTTGGTTTTTGGTGTAACTCTAAAAAAAATTGACAAAAGATATACGAATTTTCACTGAATGTTTATATTAGCATTTTCTATAAACGATAAAATTTTCAAAGTAAATTTTTTTAAATTTTTTTGTTTTTTTTCTTTAAATATCAATACAATTTTATTTGTTGGGCCAAAAAGTGTGAACATTTAATACAAGGCCCCTGATATATTGTTACAATAGCAGTTGGAAAATATTAAAAATACATAATAATATGTACAATTTATAAGGATTTAAAGTCCGAATTTTTACGAAATTTATCAAATTAAAAATGTAGAAATTATTCAGTAGTTAAAAATTTATAAAATGTTTAACTTTTATAGCTAAGTGTTAAAAAAATTAAAACAGGTTTCCACTTAAATATGTTATAATAGTATATAAATTACTTTATTCACAACAATATCATCAAATATACTCAGTAATACCATATGCTGACTGATGACCGTCTTCGCTCGGAATCGTTTTTCTTATCGTTTTTCAATTATATCATTGAATTAAAATGTAATACAATCCATTACAGTGACCCACTTGTAACCTACTGTACAGCAGAACGACACCCAATTGCCAACCTATTTATCTTATTGTATATTAACTAGTATAAATGTCAAGACACCTCTCATAATACACAAGCCAGATACTATAATAACATTTTTCATAAAAGTTAAACACATAATTTTTCATAATATAATATTATATTTATAATTTATACATTATTAAAGGTGGTAAATTGAAATAATTAAAATTTCGTTTTGAATTAACATATCATTACGTTATTTAAAATAAACACATTTTGAGTTTTGACAAATATTTGGAAGTTAGGTACCTATTAATGTAAAATATATAAACAATAACAAAATTATTATTTTTTGTCTTAAAGGTAAAATATATATATTAAATCCCGAGCAGTATTCTGGATAGCATAATATAATATAATAATGAAATAATACAAAATACAATATATTGCGTTATATCTGTTTCAATAAATTTTTAAAAAAAATAACTGGTAAATAAGCACCGTATGTAGCATAGTAGGTAGTAGGTAATATATTATATTATAATATATAGGTACACAACATATTTTTTACTACAGGTAACAGCTCTAAACACTGCATATAAGATATGCATATGGGTACTACATATAAGATAATAATATTATAATATAGGTACCGAAATTATAGACTATTATATTATAAACACATAGATGATATTTATACTATTTACAATTAAAACGTCTGTATAATATATAGGTTTGATATGAGAACTATGGCCTATATTATATTATAATTAAACATATGTAGCCGTGCATTGAGAATTCTTAAATCTAAATATTCCTTAAATAAGTACACAATAAGTAACAAAATATTATATATTATATATATATATATTATGTATAACGAATAGTATAATATTATAAAACCCTAAAAATAAATTTTTAATATCAGTCTGCAACAGGTACGATCGTACTTGTAGGATGTTCCGTATGTCATTGATACTTCTTGTTGTCGTCCGTAGGGACGTGGAACGATTGACCGCAACTGGAAAAGTCGGTTACGGTTCTGGGTGCCGAATTCTTACTGTGGTTTTGCAAGGACTCCATTTTTTCAGGATACTTTTTCCCGTATTGTAGATAGTCCGCTGTAACGCATAAACGACGAGATTATATCATGAGTTTATGTTTTAAATTCGACAAAGGATATTATGTCATAAACACGATGACGCACGTATATGAGGTATTAAAATGTAAAAAAATAATAAAAACTCGATTAATAATTACCCAATCTTATTTCATTTGGTTTGTCGGTCATTTCGTTGTAAATGACGGAAGCTTCGGATTTCGGAAGATTATAGACGAGGTTCATTACGTACTCGAACATTTCTTTATCAAAATATTCACCGTACAACTGAAACAAATCAAAAACAAACTTGTACAATTTTATTTGACGTTTCTAATACCGCGTCAAAATGTTATTTAAGCGCGAATGTCGTATGAATAATATTTTCGTTACATTAACATAAAATTGTATACCTTAAAAGCCAACACGATAAGATCGTCTTTAGAGGTAGCTTTCTGCAAAATGTATTCAGCCAACAAGTACTTTTTAAAATCTATGGTCGACAAGTCTTCATTCTATATATAAAAAAAAATAACCATGTTTTTTGTATGTGAAATATTGACACAGGGAGAATATACGGCCAAAAAACAAGTTACTCAACATTTTCACCTGATTCCGCCTTCGTACCAAAAGTGACAGTTTTGAAAAATAGCAAATGGAGGAACGTGACTACTATTTACCTACCTATATAGATGCATTACTTAGTGTCCTTAAATATTCAATTAATACAACCAATGGTTAAGTCTGCAGTTGGCGAAAATCCATTAAAATTTCAAGGAGGGCTAACATTTTTAACATCAATGTGAGCCTTAGGGGTATCCAAGCCCGGATTAAAATAAGAATAATATATATCCATTATCCATATATTATAGAAAATGTAGCGAGGTACTACCCGCCAGCGGTCCACTATTGATCGATATCCATTGTGGGCCCGGGTCCATGCCGCCTCTCTTAATTCAGACTTGAGGGCATCAATCCCATACAACTAAAAGCTGTCTATTTTTTGGGAGGCTAATAAAATATTTAGAGGTCTTAGGACCTCCACCAACCACTTCCCTCACATTTTCGCTTATTGTTTAGTCGATTAGAAACATCTAATACCTACTTGTATTTTGACCAACTTCATCATGTTTCGAAATAATTGGCAATGATCCAGTTAATTTTATTTTTGAGAACATAGTCATATTTATTGAAATTAAAACAATAGCTGTAATAGCCAATAGGAAGGTAATAGCAATTATATTTTAAAATCAAAATCAGTACATCTGTACGACTCCAAAGATATAAAATTTGTACATATTATAATGATAATATATTTTTGATTTCAAAATAAATGTTTGTTTTTGAATTTGAAACTAACCGTTGTAAAACTGTAAAAAACATTTGATAACTTTGGGCACCAGGACGGTGAAATATAATATATTTATAACGTATATTATGTTTATAAATCTATGTATATTATAGAGTTATCATTATAGGTTGTCAACCTTTTTTTGTTCGTGGCACCCTAGGATGTCTTCTACAAATCCCCACACACTATATAATGTGTGTAGATGTTTTATATTTTCAATCATTTAGCGGCACGTCTAAGGCCAGTTCACGACCACCTATTGAGAACCACTGTTATATAGAGTCTATTATAGACCAGCACTGCAGATATTACCTCTAGATGCATTTTGAAGAGGCTGACCAGTGAACCGTCCTCGGCGGTGACGTTCAAACTGTTTGCGAATTCTGCCAGATCTACCGGTTGAGACTCTCGATTCTGAAACGACAGCATGTTCTTGACCAGAGCCGAGTCCTCGATCTTAATTCGCGTCAATCTATAAACGGTAGAAATACAACGGATAAGACAAATATGTACCTTACCGACAAGTGACGTTGTAAGAAATATTACAAGACCGTGACGACCGCGACGTGAAGAGATCTTTTATTATTAGCGCGGTGACAGCAGCCATCACTGCAGTGCAGTGTGCCAGATCACGTTAATACGTTATATTATTATTTATTATTATTACTACTCAAACTATAACGAAACTTTTCTATATGACTGATAATATATAGTTTCACGCCACGGCAAATATTTATCACCGAGTGATGATGATTCACGTGTCATCACGGGGACACGTGACACCGTATTAAAATTAAAATAATATATTACTATATGTCTATATAGTATTATTTGTATTATGTTGTGTTATGACGACCGCCTATCTGCACTAATATAATATACTCTCACCCTAGACGACTTCTAAGTCTTTCGACGGTGATCAGATTCGAGGTCATCGGCAGACCCAGTTGACCAGCTTTCACGGCCACTCTACAGTCGTCGTACGTGTAGTCTGCCGTTGGAACAGCCAATGCCCTGAAACAATACAAACAAAACAATCGGTGGAGACGACTCTAGAAAGATTTGGCATAGAAATACTTAAACGAAATAACATCATAACATAATATATTAGTCGATAACTTAACACAATCATCGAGTGTAACGACTAGAAAAATAATACCCGTAGTCACAGAATAGATGGCTTTTCATTTTTGAGAGCGAAGCTTGAGTTTAATCCTATATAATTTTATTCTAAATTTGTCTTTAAAGAATTAATGAGGACTTATGAAAAAAGTTCCCTTCGCCCAACTCGAATTAGGCTCTCTACATTTTAGTAGTACAAGAAAAAATTAAATGACATAGTTTAGCCGTTTAGATATATCGTTTTATACAACTGTATAGATTAAGTACGTATATTTATAACAAAATAAAATAGCCGACGGGCGTTATCAGTTGTAATACATAAATAATAAATACTCAATACTATTCAATGCTATGACGTATAGCTTGAAGAAATATATTATTGAGTTCACAATTTTTCGCTGGATATTAGTACCCTCTCGCACCGGGTATAAAATTCTGAGAGGTATAGATATCCCAGAAATATGTTGTACATATACTGCGGTTAAATAAATTTCCTAGATTATTCGTATATGAATATTATCCCCGTGAAAGAATTATTCTGCTAGAATATTTTTACCCTCGGTACTTATATAATTTGACAGGGGGGTAGGTAATAAACTGAGAAATTTTTATCAGATATATTATATTAACCTAGAAAAATCGTACACCCATGGGACATGAATTTCCGGTGTACCATTTTATGATAATATTATATAGTTTAATATTAATACGTTTAATAATATTGTATGGGGCATGCGTACTTGGCCATCACGTTACGAACGCCTTCGGCGAAGGCTTTTGGGTTCTGTTTTTCGTATTCGCTGGGCACGTACACCGGCAGGAATTCCACTTCCACCGTCGTAGTCGGTTGCGTCATAGTCAACCACAAGAGTTTCAATCTAAACACGATACCGTGGTTACATTATACAAATATTATATTATTATAAGCATGTCGAGAACACGGGAATTCTATATAGTCTCATAATATTTATATATATGTTGATTCTCCCTTACGCTCCAGGACCGTCCCACGTCCAGGTGACGGTGTCCAGTTTGTTCGGGTACCGCAACAGTACCGGTTGAACGGGCACCGCTGGATAGAAGGCGCCCGGCTTGAACGTTATCAAACACGATCGGTTCGTACATGTGCCTTCCGGGAATATTAGGATCTAGAAAAGGATTAGACGAGTTCAGAGTTCTTATTGGGTTGAAGTCACGTACCATATATTATGCATATTATGTGTTTACAGTAAAACCTTCTTATAACGGACACCCGTAGGACGGAAAACTATTTAAGGGGAAAAATTGTAACAGTCCCGTGTATGACTTATATCTCCTATATTTTAGTCTCCCAACAACGGAATCTCCTTTATAAAGGAAAAATCAGTTGGTACCGAGCGATTCCGTTATAAGGAGGTTTTACTGTATACTGCAGTTATGTAGTACTGGATATAGTACTGTATTCCATCGAATAGTATCAACTTAATAACCGAACGTATTGAACACTGCAGTTTACTATAGATAAAATAAGTTCATTCAAAATTGTTCAAAACCATAATATTATGATCGATTTAACGCGTCAAAATCTAACGATGAAATTTTTTTGTGAACAAAAAACCATCTGGTATCGAATTTTGTTCCTAGTCTCTGTATATTATACAACTAATGGTAAATTGGTAATATATAACAGACGCCGAAATTACCCATATTATGTGTATAATAGTATAATACATTGTTATATATTATATTCAAAGATAGTTTTTACATTGATTCGTAAAAATTATTTTCAGACAGTATAGTAAAGTCTCATTTAATACCTATAATAAACTTTGACTTTTTATGAGCACATTTCAATAGACTTTAAAGAACTATATTTCAAACGTCTACTAATCTATTCGCGACGGTCGACCATTATTAATTCATCGAGGACTGAGAATACATGCAATGTATACGTCACATAATATAATATTTATATTATATACACATCGTCAAAATTAATTGCACATTTTTATACATGTACGCAGATATCGTATTATTTCGTCGGAAATGTATTTTACCTGAGGCCAGTCTTGGTCGGATTTTACACGGCGAATTATCTCCTGTATTGTGTTGTGTCTCGATTCTGGGTCGTCTCTCCGTACGTACACGGGCTGCGTGAAGTTTATTACTCCTGTAGGACCGTAAAAAATAATATGAGCAAAACTTCACTACATAATATTATATTGTCGGTATACACGGATTTATTTCCACCCGACTTTGTAATAAATATAGATATATATTATTATATCTGTGAGAATAGTACCTACACATAAACGCGTATATCAGAGCGTTTAAAAAAGTATATATACTACGCTATAGCAGGTGTACTATTATAGGTATTATATTATTACATAGAAGTTAAATTATCTAAAAAAAATACAAATTAAAACACATTCACACACGCAAATATTAATAATCTATTTTTGATGACTAATTTGTATCTACAGCAATAAAATATAAATGCGCATGCATTGTCGTCGTATTTGTCTACTTTGTAACGTGTAAAATGTAAATTATATAGCTCACGACTTAAAACCACTTTTAACTTTGTCGCTTTATCATAAGAGCACAATTATTCTATTTAATATATCTCTCTCTTTAATTTATTTTCAAGATTATAATATGTTGTTTTTAACGAATAATTTAAATTAATTGTTTGTGTTATAAATTGTATTGCATTGACACGTACTTCCGACCCAAGGGCTAAGTCCATCCTCGATCCTCGCAATGATAGAAGGGAAACCAGTCACGTAACTTATACAAGAGTCAAGGAACGTGGAATGAGGAGCGATGACCAGTAAGGGGGCCTCCCGACAGGAAGCTTTCACCCCCTTAATAACCATGTTCATGCCACCTGCTAAGTAAGCGGAACGGCCCACAAAACAAATCCAACGACGGATATAACTATAAAACAAAAGTAAAAAATGTTAAAATTATAATAAGCAAACAAAAATCACACTAAACTACAATTATTAACATCACATATAACACTACCTAACTATATCTACTAAAGTCTACATAAACTATACTATAGTTTAATCTAATCATTTCAACAATTATTTTTCACATAGAAAATATATTATTAATTCATACAATTAGCATTTCATTAATTTTGATTAAGTAAAAAAAAAAAAAAAAAAACGTAGGTACCACAGCTTTTAAATAAAAACGATAATAGGCTAAACACTTAGATAGACACCGGTCGATATAGACACGGTATAGAATACAAGTATTTTAAGCATTATTTTAGCCAATTAGGTACTTATATAATGGGTAAGAAATAACGATAAAATAAATTATCTAGGTAACCATATAGATACTTTATAATACCATAAAGGTTACCATATAGGTACTTTTACTTTTTAATCTGTCTAATTCATGCGAAAATTAAATAATTAGTTCCAATAAATTATTAAAATACTATAATATTTAGTATGAACGAAAACTTTATGCAAACTTAATTCAATAACTTATTCACTAAAAATTTGATGTGCGTAAATTAAAACTTTCTCTAGCATTTATTATTCAAAGAAACTTAATAATAAATAATAAATATTGTAATCTTAAGGTCCCGCCTAAAGATTGAACTATAATTTATAGTGGATTCACGTTTATATTGACCCGTCGGTATGTAAATTATACCCCGATTCCCGACACAATGACAATCAAATATAAAACAATATATTATACAGATGACACGATGAGCGTTTTTATAAATAAGATAAAGGTATTACAAAAATAATTTTCTCTATATAATAGTGTACCTACATGCTACATGATTATTATGCAAGTTTTAAGACACCAAAATATATTATGTCTTTAAAACGTTACCGTAATTTTACCAAAAAATTAAAATGAGTAATAGAAACAATATAGTAGGCATGCACACGAAAAAAACATTACTATGCGATGTAAAATTGGTGAACCTTAGACAGTAACATATTTAAGGGAAGGGAGCCAAAGTTATAATATAACGACCCCTGGAACTTTTTTCTAGTTTTCATGCTTTAATAATAATTTAAAGTTTAATATATCTAGTGTAATAATATCTGGTCCACGATTATTGATGGTCATAAATTTAAAAATAAAATCGGGGTAGTCTCTCTGTTGTATAGTAGAGATATTTAATAAATCACTGTAATAATGGATGTGTTAAATTTTAATTCAACGATAAATCATTGCATACGTAAAATGATTCCTAGTAAAGACAGTCGTCTGCCTATTCTTCTAAGGATAATAATAATATGTACGATGCAATTATTTATATTGCTATTAGTTATTTATTTTTCTATCTTTAATAGTTAATACCAATATATACGGTGTAAATAGGTCCATGGTATACCTAGCTTAAAATCAATTTAAATATTTCAAAAATTGCATTGCGTATAGGAAATAATAATATATATACGCAGTGGTGAAAAAATAGTTATTTTTTCTTTAAATATCCAATGTCATCAAAATTTGGAATTCAACCATTCGTAAAAAAATGTTTCTACTGCTCTACTCTGATAGTTTTTAGTACTCCTTCCAAGTGTTGACAAAAACAAAAATATAATAACAACAAAATAAAAATAAGACACATAATATCATTTATCGCTTCACTCGGAATCTAAAATACAAATAAATTCGTTATAATTTTTTAAAACATTTTTAGAACCAAAGTAACAAGTTTTATATAAAAATACTTTACTCTCAAGGATTTACTATTTTGTTTGATGAATAAATGAAAGTTCTAGAGAAGTCATTTTTACAGAGCAAAGGGGTGATTTTTCTGTTTTACGCCTTTCTTCCAAAATAAATACGCCACTGATATAAGAAAAGGTCCATTATTGTTATACAATGTCGTCTGTGCATGTGCACTATTATTACTGTATGACTTTAGTGGCCAGATTTTCGTTTCGTTGTCGATGACCGGTATAAAATATTAATTGATGTCACGCTATGTCAAATCTTAAATCCAAATCGTTAACAGGTTAATATCACTTTATTAATATTATATTATTACTTTGTGTGTGCTAACGACGCTTTGCTCGATACGGGAAAAAACACGACCCGTCATTACGTCGTAATTGAACGTTATTATTATATTGCATCGTCGTGGACATGGTTTTTGTGAGAATTATTAGTGTGAAAATGTTTCTCGTCAATTCTAACGTTTAACTCTCACGCTCGAGAGTCGAGCTGTTGGCCGTAATTTAAACGCGGTTTGGGCGTTGCAAAGCACCAGAGTAAAGTATATTTACCGATATTATAGTTGCAGCGCGCTTCAAAAAACGGATAACACGCGATCCACGGCGGCCTTCTTGACATTAAACAATCGCACGCAATAGGTGTAATATTTATATTATTCAATCGGACGGACATGACACCCGTCGCAATGGTCGTGTGGGAACTTTTGATAATAATATACCATAATATGAGTTAACGACTTCGCGTTTGTTACTGTCTCGACGTATCGTATTGCTATCAAATCACGCGAGTCGCCCACGTCACACATAAACACTATATACAATAATATGTAATATTTTACATATTATTGTAAAGTGAGAGCCGCGTAGGATGACGAAAAGATTAAAGATTCGTATATTTTTTGATATCAAATATCAATAGAAAGATGTATTCTATGTAAAAATCATCCACCGGGACACACGGGATACAGCTTACTGTTGTCATACATTCCTACCATACCTACCTATAAGAGAGTTTGAAATTCAAATCATTGGTAGTTTATATATTATAATTTATAGATAAAGGTAGACCAAAAAATACAAATTGAATGTTTATACTTTTACAATGTTTTTTAATTTGTATAGGTTTGATACATTATATTTATCTTAAGCTAAGAATATAATTGATTTAAGATTCTTAACTCAATTATTTGTGAACCTATACATCAAAAAAATGTTTAAATTACAATTATTGATTAATGACTTTATTACCTACTATAAGCTATAAGAAATTAATTTGTTAATACAAAATTTAAAAAAAAACATTAATTCTTTATATTACTTTCATACCTACAAAATATATAAAGAAAAAAAATATTTTATAGTTTACATCATAAGCTTCCTTCGCCACTGGCTTATAGTGTCTGTTATTTTATAGGGTTATCTATTTTAAGTTGTATATACCTACTTGTTAAAAATACTTGATAACAATATACATTTATTTGCCCAGTACCTAACTTTGTATGTCAGACCTCTGTGCGATACTGCAATTACATCGGTGGCATTTCGTGTGCACCGGGGTGACACTTTACATATTTTATTATTATTACACATATTTTACTTGTATAATATTATACTATAGCGTATTCGTCAGATTTCTAAATTCAGCGGAACATTGTACAATAACGGTCTCAAGACATCTACGTTGATACTTTGCCCGTCCCATAGTTGGCAAGGTTTGACGCATAATACTATATTATAATATTATCGCACGTGAATTTATTCTAACCAAATTCCTTACTATAGGTTCATTGTGTTCAATAATTAGTAATTAATAATTATACAATAGCATACAATGTTCCCAAATGCCAGCCTCGGAATCAGATGCAGACGGTCGCAAAACGTGCCGTGCAGCGCGCAAATATGAATTCTACAACTACTTTAGTACTATAGTCTATAACTAAACTACACCTATACACATACTAAATATTAATATACATATATTAATAGTACAACATCAATGCATGTGTTACAAAATCAGCATACACACACACACATCACACATACATATTAATATAACTTACATTTAGTTCTGTGACTCGGGTTTAAAATGACCAATCCCGGAGTATAGGAACTCGAGCGGAAAAGTCTCTATAGTAAATATATCAAATTATACGGTAGATACGATTTTTCACGAGCTCGTTTATTATTTAACAGCAGCAATGATTTCCAAGGGCCGATTTACATATTATAGAGCGTAACATACTGACGGGCATAATATAAAATATTCATAATAGAAATGGAATTGCGGTATTGTTTAAAATGTTTGAACTTCGTCCGCGTTCCACGACTGTCGAAAATCGTGGTGAAAAGTTCATTAGTTCGGGGCCTTTTATTATTAGACCCGAGACACGGACTGTGGGGGTTATAGGTAAATAATATATATTTTACGAATACATAGTCACGTGGACGCAGGAGGGCATGCATAACGGGTAAAGTATAACGACGTGTTATATTGTTATAATTGGGGATGGGCGCCAACTCAACTCGTTAGGAAACCGTGAAAACAGATATAGGTAGCTATATCAATTTGCATGCTATAAGCGTCAATCATCGTGGGTTAGATAATATTATAAAGTATAAACTATATGGACATACCTACTAAATTTTAAATTACTTATCATAATTTTACTTATTATATATTCTTAAACTGAAAAAGAAATTAAAAATTAAAAATGTTTGTTATACCTATCCAGTAAATTTTTCAAGAAAAAGAAAAGAATAAAATAATTATTTTTTTTACAGATTTTATTAAATTGTAGTAGTTTATTTATTTTTCAACCAACTATATACCTATGACAAGAATTTTTTTAAAACATATATTCCAAACAAACAGATAAGACTAACCTGTTATAAAATTACTAAATTTAATTAATTTAAAATTAATCATTTTTGAAATATAATTAATACGATTCTATCATAACATTATTGAAGTATAATTTCTCATCCCTGCACTTTGCTGACTTAAGACTGAAAGTAGGAATAATAACTCAAATTATTTTAATTTAATTAAATGTAATATGTTTAGAATTACACAAAACAATTAAGACAACAATATTATATTATAGCCTATGGCGATTATAGCATGCAATTCGGATGCACCGAATTTTTCAAAGTCTTATAAGTTTTTTTTTTCAAATTTTAGATGAAAACGATTCGGTGACCTGTACCCAGCCCCAATCATACAATCATCTATACAACAACAAAGTCACACGGTGCAGAAGATAATATAATATATAAAGAGAATGTGGATCGTCGCGTACTTCCTACGATCGGTATGAACGAGTTCTCTTCCTTAGCTACGATGGTTGGACCGCCCGTGACGACGGCCGCCAGCCCGTCATAAAAGGACGAGTGCGGCGCGACGGCCAGCACGGGCGCCTGTTGCCGCGTGGCCTGTTCGCCGACAGTCCTGACCCGATGGAAGCCAGCCGCCCCGAACATAAGCCGGACGACCACGTACACCGCACGTCTGACGCAGCTAAAAACGCAATCAAAAGCCCAAAACCAGTACACCACGTACACGTAAAGCGTGCATAATAATATACAACATGTATGATATTTAAGTATAAGTATAATATACTATACCTACAATAATAATATTATTGTATAGTTTACTATTTATTTTACTATATTAGCCATAAGGACACTTATATTATGTACCATTTAAAATTGATGACTCCCTCTCACTATCTAACTTAACCGCTATAGGGTTGCCATACGTCGTTCCAGCTGTTTTGAAAATATATATAGCGTCCAGCCGGCTAAAGTGTTTTGGGACGGAAAATTGTCCCGGAATCAAACTTCAATACAATTTATGCTAACGTGTTGACTTTTACTAAAAAATTTCAGTAATAGAAAAACAATATTGTTATATTTAAGTTACTTATTATTTGACTGACTCACGAAATCTATTTTAAAATAATTTTCCCGACAGTTATTCATGATACGTCCGTTGCCTTCCTGTGCCCCCGCGGAAATTATTGCTGTCACAAATCGATAATTAATTTGAAAGGTAACTTATTCTGATTTGTAACATTGAGTTATAGTTTTTACCTTACAAACGTATGTCATAATAGACCAACACTGACCATTGTGTGTGGTATTCTAGCTACGAAAAAACAGTGTGTTGAAATTGGTGGTTGGCCGTAAAGGAGTGGTAGGTATTTTTCAAGTGAAAATTACACCAACAATGTTTGTCCTAGTTCAAGAAATGTTAAATATGGCAACCCTAAGTTAACTTCGTTAGGTTTGTAAGAGCCCCGGCCTTTGAGAGGAGGGGCATTAAAAACGTCACTCCTGTTCAACAACAATGCAATTAAACTATTAAGGTTATTATGTACATCTTTGTATAAAGGCGGATGATATCATTATTATTATTATTATTATTATACCTATCTATGCCTGTATATTTTATTTTTGATAAGTGTTCGAATATGATATGTATTTTAATATATTTATTTTTATTCGTAAACAATTTTGCTTACACGTTACTGTTTTGGATAAAGTATTCAACCATTCTAAATATATATATTTGTACTTTTAATTTCTATGAAAAATACTCAACACAAGTAATAATTATTATTTGAATGTGATAAAAAAAAAGTTGTAAATAGATTATTATATATATACTTTAATATATTTTATTCCCAACTCCAAAACACCTCAGAATTTAATAAGCCATTTTTCAGAAAAAATAATTTGTAAACATGTAATATGTCATATAATATGACTGGGATTTAATAGGTTTATTCATTTTTTTAACTCCCAATACTTTCATACTATCAAAGATGTAATAGAAATACCAATATTTTTTATATATATTATATGTGAAAGATAAATCATAAAGTAACATTATTTTATGTATATAATATGTAGTACATAGACATAACCGTAGACATAATGGTTAAACGATTGTATGACACAAATTAAGACAAAATAGTGTATTGCAGAAAGCTTTTAAGCATGGACAATCGACAATCGACATTAATAATAAAATATATGTAGAGTGTACACTTATAACATGCAATTCTTGAATATCCGCCTTTCTATTATTGTATTAGTTAGAAAGATTTAAATGCTGCGATCCTTTCATAGAAACAAAAACTGAAGTGTCTATATTATATAATATCTCATCAATAATAAACATAATAATTATAATTATAATTATTTATTTTGATTAAACAAATTGATTGATTATTGTTACCGCTTTTATATTTATGAAATATTGTGTTTATAAAGCTCCTCGTATAATATACCAATCGACGTATCGGTGAAAACACTCTATTTAAATTTTAAAATATACTTAATATTAAAATAATATAACCTCGGTCCATTATGCGTGAATAATTAATAGTTAACCGGAATCTATGAAGTTCATACAATAAATTACAGTGCAACAATAGAAATTATATAATCCAGTATGGCAGTATTGATAGTCTGATGACTGTATTAATACTTATTATCTACAATTACATATAATTCGATTTGTCATATTATATTATTATAAAATAAAACGTTTATTTAAAACCATTTTTAAACATTGAAGAACAACGTAATATGCCCATATTATAATATATTTTATATATTTTAGTGAATATTATATTCTAGTGATCAAGAAATAATGTACGCAAGGAAATTAAGAAGGGTAAGTACTATTTTTATATATCATTATAATATTATATTCATATTAAATTCAAAATGGATTGCTTTTTGATTTGTCTATAGTTCCTATACCTAATGTAATCTGCAGGTTTTTGAGAAAGAATAAAATAAGTAATAAAATTAAGAATTATGATCTAGTTATTATTTTTAATGATTTGACAAAACGTTATTAATTTATAACTTTTAATTATGTAAAACTTCGATTATTACTATATACTTTTTGGTAGATAAAATAATTTGTATTAACCTTGTCTAATTTAGATAATAACGAATGTTATTACCTATTAGTTATTATAGCCCAACGTGTCAAATTTAAAATAGCTAAAGGTAACAATAATGAATTATATTGACGAGTCACCGCATATATATATATACGTGAACATATATAATAAACGCTCTAAATCATAAACTCAATATAACGCTATATGGTTAGGAGTGAATAGGTATTATTGACTGTACTGTTATATAGTAGAATAGTAGATTGAAAAACATATGCCAATAAAAATATTGTACTAAAAAAAAAGGAGACAAAGGTCTCGATTCAAATTAAAAATCGCTGTTCAGCTTGGTTCACGGTTTATACCCCCGTGAGCTGTGATCCATATACTGGTATAAAAATATAGGTACTTATGAAAAAAATTATTTTAATAACTGAAAAATATAGGCATATTATATAGGTACACATTATTAAGTGTATAAATAGTAATAGTTTAGGTGGCAATGTGAAAAGTCTTAGATTTGGTCTGTTTTCGTGAAACTTACCGTCTCCATCCGGTAAGTGGTCTCTCTGATAATTCGGTTTGACTAACACCGGTCAAACCAATGGTCGCCAAGAGCCAAGCTATAGACAGCAAAACCAAAATGGCAACTATCCGTACGGGTAGAACGACTATAGTGAAAAACGCAGTCTGAAATAAAACAAAAGGTTTTGTTATTAAACAATAATGATGATAGATGTGTACGGCCTATTTAAATGTAAATTACTTATACGAAAAGTAGGTACCTATACTCGAGACACGATAAAATATTATTAATTTTAATTGTATATTATTTAATAATAATATTATCCCGACTTAACACGTGTGCAGTTTTTTTTTGTGACAAATCCCATATAGTATATACGTTATATATAGATGTACCTCGGTTTGAGTGTATCTCAGTGTTAGTCTAGGTACCTCAGTTCACGGACAAATCGGCGTCGGTGTATACCTAGATTTGTGAAAAAATTTGACCTAGATGGGCAACCGCAATTTTTGGATTATATTTAGCACTGACTGGGTATATTTTTTAACGTGGCTTAAACTACTTGCTCTCTAAACTTTTCTGATATCTCTAAAGACATTCTCTGAGATTTTGTATCAATTCAATTGAGTGTTTTCTGAGTATATAAGCTACACACAGTCATTTTGTTTTAAGACATTGTTTCTTTAATCGAGACCATGTACCTAAACTCGACGATTTCATGCATATTTGTACCTGATCTGCCAGAGTATAAAAAATGGTGTACATTTATAAACCAAAAAAAGTTTAAATTTCCACCGTTTATCTCAAAATCCCTGTTTGAACCCCTCTTGAAAATGTGAATATTAAAAATCATTTTTTATGGCACATCTAGATCATTAAAGGAACCGCTATTCCAAATTTCAAGTTAGGGAAGTAAGTTTTTAGTTTTTGAGATGTAGCGATCAGTGAGGGAGTGAGTGAGTGGTATTCGGCATATATATATAGATTATTATATAGTTTTATGTGTACTCATATAATAGTTATGAATTGAGTAGGCTATAGCCTATATATACTATACACACATAATAACAATACTATTATAATTTATAATACTGCAAATAATACAATATATCTAGGTATAGCAGATAATAGACATTTTTAAACCAGATTATGGTGAACAAATAGTACGAATTATACTTAAATGTTTTGCATACTATATACCTATACATCAGTAATGGGCGATGGTAAGTCTTATTTCCGTCTAGGTTTATGTCAACTCATATGTTCTAAGGCTTCAAACGCCACTAAATTATATTATAATCCTGTATAATATATGTTCAAGGACCTATATCGGAAGTACTTACATGAAACGTCATTAAGGAACATTTGTGTGTTATATTGCTGACATCCTTGGTAAAGTTTAAAAATATAGAATTCACATTACAAAAAGGTAAAAGAATATAGACAAGTAATTATCTTAATATAATAATAGCTAAAATTAGTATATAACTGTGTCTGGGTGTGAGCACTATTCTAAGTTCTAACTACGATAACTGTCATACTGTTGTAGTGTTGTCGAATAAATTATGATGTATGTAAAATAAATAAGTACATAATATTGTGTGTAAGCAATGTGTGGTATACACTTATACAATATATATAACGTAAAATGTGGTTATATCATGGAAAACATTTTTAATATGAAAACACTGAACAGTGAATTGTAATCGGTTTTACCTTATCGGGATTATAACATATAGGTATTATTATTCTAAATCCTCTAAATAATATAAACGACAACATTGTTATCGTAAATAATGAGAAAACCCTTCTAATGTAATTAATATATACAGTCAAATCACAATAACTCAAAAAACTTGACAACTCGATTTTTTTTTTATTCTCCTTGAGGGTTAAGTTGGTTAAATTCGAGTTAGGTATCTCGATTACTATTTATCATCTCGAATCTATTTATTTTTTTATCTCACTTCAATTTTTCTAGATTTCTCAACTATAATTCATGGAGATATATTTCAATATGGCCATCGCATATAATATTAATAAATATATAGTATGAGTTTATTATCACCTAGCATAATGAAATATGTAAAATTTAAAGAACTATATTTAATAAAATATCACGGAATAAATAGTAATATAAATAATAATATTATACTATATATTCTGGGAAAGATATATTTGCCACGTCCATTCATCAATATATAAGTGCATTGTTACATTACACAAATATATGGCATAAATTATAAATTTTTTTATCATATTTCTTATTTAACTACCTACTTAAATCATATTATTATAATAAATTAATAAAGTGATTTAAGCTGAACAAATTGTCCATGTATCATAATATTATAATTTATAATAGGCAGTGGTGTATTGGAGGGTATACGCGGGTATACGTCGTATACCCGGATCCCTATTTTTGGATTTATGCGTATACCTTTAAGAAAATTAGTCTTTTATGGGTATACGCACGCTTCTAATTTATACCTACTAAAGTTTCAAAAATGGCTGCATACGAACTGAGTCCCAGTATAACCTTTTATGACGAATTGAGTCCCGGGTTGTTTTAGGGTATAAACCAATTGAGTCCAGTGAAATTGTAGGTATAATACTAATTTAGTCCATGTTTTAATACTAACTGAGTCCCGTAAAATTTAAAAAAAAAACATTTTCCTTCCTATTTTTAAAGACTTGTAACAAAAAATTCTACAGGTATGGTTAAAAATGTTTTTTTTTTTAAATATTTTATAATATAAATATATAATAATGTAGGGGTATAATATAATATGAATAATTTGTGTATAATTAAATAAATGTAGATAATGATAAAATAACATTTTTATATTGGTAAGAATTTATGGGATAAGCATTGTACATATTCAAATCTACTTATTGTGTTCGATTGAAACAGCTACATTTGATGGCTGATTTCTTTTTCTTTTATACAATTTCTTGAATTAATTATTAAAATTCCCGGCTCATAGTATAATATATTACTATATTATCTGACGAAAGTCATAAAAATGATATGAATGTTATGTATATAATATATATATAGGTATATCCGTGTGGACCGGCTTTTGACGCGCGGCACGGCTGTGTGGTATAATTTTCGCTGTGTCTGGACTCTGGATGGTTATTTTATATTTTACTCAAAATAATCCTCGGACTCAATTCGTATACAATTAGTTTCCTAACCCCGGACTCAATTAGTATATGTTTTGTTTGTACCCGGGACTCAATTAGTACATTATTTTTTTCCCGTTCAGGTATAGGGACTCAAATAGTATACAGTGTCAAAAATATATTATAAACCACTGCTTTATCGTATATACATACACAGTACACTGAATCGGTCGCGGTATGCCGTGTATGGTTAAGGCTCTACATACCATGGGTATGCTATGCCACCATTTTGCGACTCTTTTATCAATGATCAAATGATAAAATAAAGGGGGAGAAATTCATAGATAATATAAGAATATTATCTTATATTATCTATGGAGAAATTCATATTCACATAAGATTATTAGTCGCAAAATGGCGGCGTATCATACCTGTATCTATAGTGCCCTAGTATGGTTAAAATAGATCCGTAGTCAAAAAATCGTGTACGATTATTGATAATATAAAACAATAAACATACGTAATTTCAAACTAAATGATAATGACAAATTAGAATAATAAAAAATAATTATTGTTGATGTATTGTGTTATTACTTGTCATCCAATAACCAAATTATAAAATCGAACTATTAGTTTCTCATTATATTAATTCTATTAATTTTATAAAATATTTTATATATAAATATATTATAATATTATATGATCGATAATGGATAATAAACGTACCGCTACTTCTACTATATAAGTATTTTACTGTACAATTTTTTTAAAATTTGATAATAAAAAGTTGTATTATTTATGATATATATCATATATGAATTGGGAACAAGTCTAGTTTACCGGGCACATTTTTTTTTTGAAATTTTTTTTTTTTTTGAAAAGGGTTGTTTTGACGAGTTAAGAACGATTGTGCAAAAATAAAATTTCGGAAATGATTATTTTGGAAGTTATAGCTTCCCAAAGTTAACGATTTTACGTTTATACGCGTGCGCGCAACACTACTATAATGCCGCGCGGAGGACCTCGAGTTTGGCGACCGTTTGGCAACCCTTTTAAAAAAAAATTTCAAAAAAAAAAGGTGCCCGGTAAACTAGACTTATACCATGAAATTGAATTAATTAAAAAAAAATAATACATTGATACTTGGTACATATTACACACAGTGGAGTATATATGAATTAATTTTATGGTTGGGGGTGAATATAGGGTGAACTGGGGGGCGTATATAGGGGGGTATATACGCCACCGCATATACATATACACATGAAGAGTAAGTGTTTATAATAAAGTAATAAAAGATTATTAAATACAAAGTGTACCTAATGATTTTTTGAGTGGAGCAAGAAAATATTTAAGGTAGGTATATCGTATATATAGGTATATACTATATTCAACTACTTTTAGGTGCGTATACCCATAAATTTATTTACCAATACACCACTGATAATAGGATATACAGTAAAACCTCCTTATATCATACCCTATATAAGACGTAAATTTCCTTACAACAGAAAATAACAACAGTCCGTACAAGTGTACAACCTACATTCCGTATATTTTAGTATCCCTATAACGGATATTCCTATATAACGGAAAAGTCAGTTGGTAGTTGGTACATACCGATTCTGTTATAAGGAGGTTTTACTATATATGTCTAGGTATAATATTATAAAGTTTCAATAAATTTAATAATACCATGCACGTTTCAGATGATATCGATTAACATAACGTTAACTTCACCTATAAGTTTAACGCACTCGGTATTAATAATAGCATACAATGTACATTAATTAGAGTTTATACAAATATTGAAATTGCGAACGAGATAATTAATATACAAGACAAAAACGCGGTGCAACGACGTCCGGTATAAGTGAGTTGTGAGTACGTACATTATATTTTACATAAACCTGCTCTAATATACTTATAATGATTACATAATATATACATATTTAATATAATATACATAAACTATACACTATATGCGCATATGCAACCACAATAACAAAGCACTGTTATTGTTTTATTACTATTA